TAACAAGGAACTTTAAGACCACAACTGGCCCAAGTGCAGAGAATAAGAGACCTCAGAGTGCATATTCCTGGATAGGACTTCTCTATTAAACCTCACCTAGGCAGGGATCAGGGACCATTGCGGGAAAGGGGGTGGAAAGATTATAAGAGCCAGGAGTGGTACACGACCACAAGGAAACAGAATTTTCCAGACTTCTGGGAACTTGTTTCTGTGAACCTACAGCAATGGTGTCAGCATGCACAAGACCCATGCAGACCCATTCAGACAAAACCTAGCATGAAACTGGAGAAGTGGGCAGGAGGACCAAACCTTAACCAAGAACTATTGGCATCTGATCACTGCTGGGTGAAGGAGAGTTGGATTTCTTTAAGGGAGTGATGCTAGATAGGCTGAAAATGTTCCAGTGGATGAACTCACAAGGGACATCTGGGTATACAAACTTGACTCGATAGGCCTTAACATATATGATCGATAACCTGGTGGGGGCAGGCTATAGTGGGGTGCAAAGAGAGGAGGTGGTCTAAATATGATTAAGTTGTATGAAATGCACCAAAATTCAATAAAAATATATATTGGAAAAATTGCTATCATAGGGGCTGGGGAGATAGCTTAACCTGTTAGAATGCTCATCATTGTAATCATGAAGGCTGGAATTCAGACCTCAGAGTCCATGTTAAAAAAAAGCCTGTAGGGTGCTTGTAATCTTAGCATTTCAGAAGCCGAGACAGCTGTGATCCCTGGGGCTTGCTGCTTAGCAGGCCAGCTTAACCTACACAGTGTGCTCCAGGCTAACAGCCTGTTTCAGAATAGCAAACAGCAGTAAATCCAAGAAACAGGTGGCTGGCTCTGGAGGAGCAGTGCCAGAGATGACTTCTGGCTTTCACATACATGCACCCATACATACACATGGCTTGAATTTACCATGATTTTTTTTTTGGTCTTTTTGAGACAGGGTCTCCCTGTAGCCCCAGCTGTCCTGGAACTCACTATGTAGTCCAGGCTGGCCTTGAACTCACAGAGATCTGCCTGCCTCTGCCTCCTGAGTGCTGGGATTAAAGGCGTGTGCAACCACGCCCAGCTACCATGAATTTTTATCATTAGAATTATCTCTGAGTCTTCACTATCATTGAACATGTAGTATGTGTTCCATCTTTGATAACGCACCATCACACATTTCAGGTTGGTTCTCACAGTTCAGTGTAACAGGTTGTGAACAGGTGCTTGATTCCTCCTGACCCTTTTGTGGGTGGAGCAGCCTGCAGGGATTGAGGTCAAGGAGAAATGCCGTGCTTCTTTTTTTTTAGTATTTTATTTATTATTTTTATTTTATGTGTAAGCCTGTATTGCCTGCATGTAGGTAAGTGCACCCATGTTGTGCAATGCCCGTGGAGGTCAGAAGAGGCTGTCGGATCCCCTGGAACTGGAATTACAGACAGTTGTTAGCTGCCATGTGGGTACTGGGATTTGAACTCGGGTCTTCTGCAAGAACATTCAGTGTTCTTAACTGCTGAGCCACCTCTCCAGCCCGAAATGCCATGCTTCTTAATGTCTGTTGCAGTTTATTTTTTTTATTTTTAAACTATTAGTTAAATTTCAGGAATACTTTTTAAGTCTATTATAGCTGTTCCCTTTTGTGTCCTTTTCCTGCCACAGTGACAGATTTTAGAACTCGTTCTGTGACCAAGCTGTAGAACCACATTTTATGACTATCTGTTCTAGGGAATATTTTGGTGACAAATCCTTTGCCTTAGTTCTTAGACATTTGGTATTAAATAATGAGAAAAATGGCTTGTTCTCAGCTAATGCCGTCACTCTGATAAGCTCTACACCTCATGGTGGGGAGTTCGTCCCTTTGCAGTGATTAGCACAGGCTTTGCTCCTTTGCTGGCTTTATCCGGTGAACACAGTGGGAGCTCTTTGTTCCTGTCCCAATAGCAGGTTTTTAGGAGGGCAATGTCTCTTGGACCTTATTTCACATCCTTACAAAGCACAGGTATTTAAGTCTGAAAATAATAGTAAGTGTTTCATTATGCTAGTCACATATTTTTAGTTGTAATGTGGAGTCCAGTCAGTATTTTTGTGTACTTTAGCTCTGAAGTTTTCATAGTCAGATTTCCATTTCTGATATTTGAATACTTCATCATCTTCTAATTCCATTTTTTTATATAAACCTGAAATAGCAAAACCCAGAATAACTTTCCAAAACCTAAGTTACTCCAGCTACCCCAAATTCACATGTAAAGGTAGGGTTTATTTATTTAATTTATGAATAAAAGTCTGACTGATAGTCTTAGAAAATGATTTATCAGGAGTCGGTAGCCATCTTCATAAATCCAGAAATCAGGGCATTCACTGTCGCCCCGCCGTACATGTTGTGAATAGGAAACTGTACTAAGATGTTGAGTCACATGTGATTTCTGTGACACACATGAAATGAAATGAATGCAAATGTACAAAACTTGCGCTTCAGCAGCTCTTCCTCCTCTTCCTCTTCTCCCTCCTCCCCTTCCTCTTTCTTCGTTTTCATTTTGACATGAAGTCTCACTCTGTTGCTCAGGCTAGTCTTCCCAACTCTTAGAGTCCTCCACTTCAGCCTCCCAAGTATTTGGCCTGTGATTGTGTTCCACATGCCTGCTGAGTTCTCCCTAATTTTGTGTTAGTTGAGCCTGTTAATGTCAGACTTGGAGAAATATTCCCTGACAACGTTTGAATCTGTTGAAATGGAATGTTTGGATTGTGTTTCGTTTTTCTCCATCATGTTTTTACTCCCTTCATTGCAGTGATGACAGTTGGGATCATGTTTTAAAATTAGAATTATGTGCTTGTTTTCTTTGCTGTGCTGGAAGCTTGCAAACAGAGCTTGTGTGATTGTTTGACTGCTATCTCCTCTGCTCAGGACAGTGGGTCACATTAAACCTGTTTTAGTCAGTGATATTGTAACGAAACAACATTAATGCTCACTGGTAACCATTGAGTGAATAACAACTGTGGCCGTTCTACCAAGTCATGCACTAGTGAGTAGTGTGTGAGTAGTGGCACAATACATTTTGATTTTTAATTTTTATATGGCCGTTCTACCAAGTCATGCACTAGTGAGTAGTGTGTGAGTAGTGGCACACTTACATTTTGATTTTTAATTTTTATATGTATGAGTGTATTGCCTGCATGTAGGTAAGTGCAGCTGTGTTGTGCAGTGCCTGCGGAGGACAGAAGAGGCTGTCGGATCCCCTGGAACTGGAGTTAAGACAGTTGTTTGCTGCCATTTGTGTGCTGGGATTCGAACCCAGGTCTTCTGCAAGAACAACCAGTGTTCTTAACCACTGAGCCATCTCTCCAGCCCCAACACACTTTTTAGTTAAATCAGGAAGCTGTGATGATGTACTATGCTAAGGGCAACACA